TAAATAAATACAGTTTTGTAAAACTGCCCGAGTCTGCAGATTTCTGCATAAGAATTCGAGGCTTTATTTACTAGAACTAATAACCCTCAGTGTCTTGCAAGAAGCTTTAAGACGCATAACCAAGTCGCTAATAAGAGGATTCCAAAGTTATTAAATATTGGGAATGATGTTTGCCTTCTACTACTCCAGCTTGCTCTGTGGAGCAGAATAACAATGCTGCAAAGCTGTGACAATTTTCATTTCGTAGGTGGCAAAGAAAACGGAATTAGTTCCGTAGGATGTGAGAAAGATGCATTCCTCAAGGGAAAAAAAAAAAAGTTTTTTCAGCTTGTATTCCTAGAAGTTTTAAAATTCTGGTAAAAACTTGCAATAAAAGTTACTACTACAGGAAAAAAATGGAAACCTTAAGTAAATTTCTTTAGTACAGTGATGACTAATACTCCTGGAAAGGAGAGTTCAGGCACTGATTTTACTGTTGTTTTGGGTTTGGTTTTTTGTTTGTTTCTGACTGTTAAGACTTGTGTGTGAACATAAGGCAATTTGTAAGACTTTTTGGATTTCAATGTCTGTCTTTTGTGATGACGTAGCCTCACCAGATCCCAGGTGGCTACCTGACTGTTAAGACTTGTATGTGAACATGAGGAAATTTATAAGACTTTTTGGATTTCAACATCTGTCTATTGTGACGACGTAGCCTCACCAGATCCCAGGTGGCTACAGGCAGATGACTGAAAAATCACAGACAAGACAAATTATCTTCTCTTGATTCCAGTGCCTGTGGTCACTTTGGCTCAGAGCAGTGGGAAATAGTCTAAAGCCTAACTTCTACAGACCTCGTCTCCTCTGCTGGAAGAAGCAAGATCTTTGTTGCTCGGACTGACTATGGGACCTGATATCCCAGACCACTGTATCTGGTTTTGAAGGAAACTCCTTTGTGTCTCCCCATATTCTTCATTACTCCTACACCTCCCATGCTGCAAAAGGTTCCTCCCTGAATTCTAAAAGATAATTAATGGCTTAGATCCTTCTTCAAAAGTCGCCTTTACCGTGTTGTTTACAGAAAAATTCATACAGCTTAGTCAGTTTAGTCTATTACTGTTTAGTCTATTAATAGACTTTAATTTACTCTATTAATATAGTTCACCAGACAAACCAGAAATGCTTCTCTACTTCTTCATACCATCCATTTGCATCCATCATGGTTTGTGTTAGACTACACTCTCTGGAGCAAAGAGGGCCTTGTCTCCAAGAACACACCAAGCCAAGACGGAGGAGTCTATGTAGGCCTTCGTCATGTGTTCCTTTCAACGCTGGAGAAAGTACTTACATTGTAATTAATGTATTCCATTTGATGCCATTTGATTTCACTCTATTATTAGACACACAGGAAGCTGAACAGATGTGTATTAGCTTAGTCAATTTATCAACTGCAGCAAACAAATCAGTCAAGGAAAAAAAAAAAAGGTATTAAAGTCCTTTTTGATCTGCTCTACTCAAAGCTTCTGCTCAAAGCAGGGACATGGAAAGGTGGGAAGCAGCTTCCACCACTGAGGCTACCATGGCCGTGCCAGCAACTGGGACCAAGGACAGCTTTGTCACTTGGGTAACGGCACCATGTTCCCCTGGTTGGCACAAAGAGACCCCACGTTACGGGACACAGGCAAGATTCTACAAAACCATGAAGGCTTTGAAGCCACTGCTTTAGATTGGGATTGCATCTGCCCTTATATCTGAAGTTGCTTCTTGAAGGTGTTGACAGTCCAGCGGTGACAGGAAGAAAGATTTACATTAAGTTTCCCACTAATTTAATTACCATCCCAAAAGTAGATTTTCATAAAGATTTGACTTCATGAAGATGTTTTTCACAGGCTTCTCTCAGGAGCAACAAACTGAAATTCTCAACAGATGTTAGAAAAGAAAAAAAAGAGACATGTCAGTGGGTTGGTCTCAGAAAAATGGAAAGTGGAAGGAGAAAAGTATTGCCAGGATACCAAGGACATTATTTATAATTCTTGTCATACTGCGTTTGATCCACAGACAAAGCTATTAGTGAAAGTACCAACGAAGTAAAGCCCTGAAGAGCAGTTTTGAGCAGAGGAAGCTGACTCGTGTGACAGAGCATGCCCAGGAATATTTTAGCAGTGACTGAATTTTGCTCATCAGTTTTGATATGTTGTACACTATCACATGATTGAATTTTGCTCATCAGTTTTGATATGTTGTCAAACACATCAACGTATCACTTCACTGAGAAGTGCTTATCTGCAGAGCAATCTTTCAATTAACTTCTTTTTTCTATAACATCATTCCATCTGTACTTACAGCTCCATTTCACATAGGGTGCATCCCTGCAAAGTTAAGGCTAATGATGGTTAAATGCAGTTCAGCACAATCTCAATTTTCAGAAGGTATCAGTATCCAAAGCCTCTACCTCACTATTTATTTATTTGTGAGTACATGACTGGTCACTGTCTAATAATAAACACATCAGAATCCTAATGAACTTCTCTCATCCATAAGATGATGTGAGGTCTTCTGAATTTTTCAAAATGAACAGACAACAGAAATGAAAAATACTTGTTCTAAGGCACAATTAATTTAGGCAGAACTTGATAAACACAACCTTTTATGCGTGAACACCGTCTGAGCACTGCTATGCCATTTTTTTTTGCCTTAAGTAACTAATGTTTCTCAATACAAGTTAGGAACTGCACATAAAGAGCCTACAAGGAGTTTATTTAAATATCAAATGTGAACGTTTGCTGGCACAAGACCTCATCCTTGTCTCTGTACAACCAGAGTGGTTTGAGGTTAAGTGAGGTTGAATCTCATTACACTGGCCAGAAGCAGTAAAGAGTTGGACCTATTTCAACCATCAGGCGCCCGTGATTTGCCATCCAACAGCATAAAAAGTTATTATTGTTCCTTTGAGTGCTTTTATTAAGTTATTAACTGTTGGACATTTTTTTAGATTTATCTCTGTGGTATAAAGAGTTAAGAACTTTGTTTAGTTTCTCTGTCCTCTCTTCTTCATTCCCCAACTGTTAACAAAAGACTTCAGAGGAGAAGAGGAGGGAAAACAATACACTGTAAAACCATTTGAAAATGCTCAACCACATAAAGCAAAGCGGGCAAAAGTCCTCTTCAAAAATCAATTGATATTTTCTAATGCTTCAGAAAAAATTTGATACTTTCTATGAGCACATATTGTTCTCTTCTTCTTTTTTCAGAAAAGAATAAATAAATCTGATTATAGGAAGGATCTCTGCCATGTAATGTGTATGAATACTCAGAAACCATTTTCATTTTGCAGAGATTTGGAAGGTCTCAGAGCACAGCACCCTCTCCTTAAGTATCACCTGCTGCTGTTCTATGCTCTTGTCATAACCTGTAACTGGTAAATTTATTAGGTAAATTTTTAATTTTTTTTTGTAAAGGGAGGGAAAAGGAGTGCAAAAATTGCCAAACGTGATGAACAAACTACTAACAGGAATTTTCTGACATTACAGACAATATTAAAAGATGCCCATTTCCAGTGACTGTTTTCCTGCCCCAGGCACCAACGCAAGTCGCACTATTTCTCCCAGTTGTTTACTGGATGTGGTTATTGCCCTCAGTTTGTGTGTCGGAAGTCCCACTCCTGATAAATCATGACCTACTTAACGGACATAATTACGGGCAGTACTAGAGAAAGCTGATTCATGAGGAATAAGGCACACCACCATTCCTATTGCTCTTTTTAAATTCACTGTAATTTCATTAAACTCATATTACTGACTATTGTAGAGGGTAAAGAAGTAAGAAGGAAATTGATTTTAGTGTTGAGAAATGGCTTCCTTAGAGCTAGCAACTATTTAAACCTCAAATGACTATCAGCTCACAGCAGGGCTAGTGCATTTCAACGTGTAGCTATGTTTTAATTTCCTTAAACCACAGGACATAAGTCACAGTTCCAGGGGTGTCTGGAGTGAAATATTCAATGCTGATAATGATGCAAAGTTTTATATCCTGCAGTTTGTGGACACGTGGTGTGCCACTGGAATGGCACAGCATCAAGAAGATGATGCCTCTTTGCTTGTATGGGGTTAACACCTTCACAGGCAGCAGTTATTTGTTTTGCCCTCAAATGAACACACTACTTTTATTGCTGAATAACAAGAGCGTCCTGAACACCGCTGGCCTCCAAAACCATTTCTCTTCTTCCTCCTACCTTTTTAATTTTTTCCAATTTTCTCTCACCAATCTAACGATGATTCTAGCTGAACAGGACATGACGTGCTGCCCATTTAAATCTCTTGCTCAACGAGCTTTTCCCACAGTGACAAACACTCTTTTCAAAGAGCATCCACGCATGTTCCCCAGTCTGTTTCCCTCCACATCTCACAGCTGCCTGCACAGCATTGGCTTACAGTATGATTATTGCATTATGCTCTGGTCAGTAACATTTCTTACCATTCTATGCGGACAAATCACTAAATATCTACTTTACAGAAGGTAAAAACCTACATTCGATCCACTTCAAGATGCTTAAGGTGTTTCTGCTGCTTATTATATTCTTCAAATTCTCTGACAGATTGTGAAGTTAAATCCACCAGTTTGTTTCTTAACAGAAGCACTTGAAGCCTTTAAGCGTCTCCACCCCTTTCACTTTTCTGTATTAATTCCAATTTCCTTTCTTTAGGCATTCATTAGACCAGAATCTAACAGAGGAATAATTATTTGATTGGTTTTCTTCATGCACAGAATAACAAATATAATAATCTGAAAGGCAGCAATATGTTTTAATTTTGAACTACACTGAGTCTGTAAAACAAAATGTACTTAAAATTTGCATTGCTTTATTTTAAGTTAAAAGATAAAACTCTCTATTTTCTAATGCTTGCTGGAGGAGTTGTGAATTTTTCACTTTTTATCCTTTAGAGATAAGATTTCCATAATGCTTCAGCAGCAGATGACGCCGACATGTTGTAAAAACATCGTTTTTTTACTTTTAAACTTACCTGCTTTTACGTCCTGGTTCAATCGACAGTATTTTGAGTGCTCGAGCAGGGGCAGACATTGCTCAATAGGTGTCCAGGCGTACGTCTCTGGACACAACAAGTCAGAGGGTCTGTACTGACCCTAGAAAGGGGAAAAGAAAAAAAAAAAAAGAAAAAGAGAGTAATCGTATCAGTTGCACAAGAACTCTCTGGCTATAACTTTCCAGATTTTCCTATGAATAAGGAAAAATTTTAATCTAATCTACACCAAATGAGTCAGAAACAGCTTCAGTGAAATCACAGCCTTACTCCTTCAGTAATTTCAGCACCATCTCAGGAATACAAACTTGACCTTGGCAGTTGAAGAAAGTGTAAAATTAACAGAACACATTTTTACGGTATCCAGGATGAACTACAAAAGTTTTGGCTTTGCTTACAGAAACTTTGTATTTAACTTATCCTCTGGAGTTCTGCTGAGCTGGTGCCGACACTAAAAAACTCAGCACCTCCAAAAGCAGCTTGTCTCAAGTGTTGTTCATTCTACCAAATAATGGAGACCCAAAAAAATCTAATAGGAAAAAATCACTACTCAACAGTAAGCAGGATGCTATTTTTATTGCATTAGTGATGGAGCTTTTTGTTCGTTGCTACTTAAATAGTAACATTTTCTTTTTAATTTATGGAGGTTTCTCCTGGAATAGCTCGCAGGTAATGATTAGTGAATTTCTACCATTCTTTGTTGATTTATTAAAAAGATATTCTTTGCAGACGTTCCCAGAGACTAAACAGCCATAATTATTTTCCCTTTAGCTGCACAAAAAATCACCACCTCAGCAATAATAACCTCCTCTAATCAGGTCTTAATTTGATTTAAAATAAGATTATTCATCGGCCTATAACTTAAGTCAAAAATCTATCTTTGAGCCATTATTTGTTTAATCCATACTCTTTCAACATTTAGAGCCATATGGTGGCAATAGCAAATTAATTTTTAAATTAAATATTCATTTCACGTATCAGCTTGGAAAAGAGGCATACAGTAAATAGAGTGAAAAAGTTTAAGGATTTCAATTGCACAGGTCTTGAGGCAGTGGTTAAAAGACTGGACATTATAAGAAGTCACACTGCAGTTGATGCAACTCAGAGCTCTTCATATCAATTGGATGTGAAATTGATTTTTTCCCCCTACATCTACTATAAAAAAAGGCAAAGTGGTCTTGAATGAAGCTGACCAATATTTAGGAAGGGACATAGGTAACTACTGTGACTATATAAAGACATGTTTTTTAAAAGTCGAAATAGAGTGAAAATGTTTAAGGATTTCAATTGCACAGGTCTTGAGGCAATGGTTAAAAGACTGGACATTATAAGAAGTCACACCGCAGCTGATGCAACTCAGAGCTCTTCATATCAATTGGATATGAAATTGATTTTTTTTCCCCCTACATCTACTATAAAAAAAGGCAAAGTGGTCTTGAATGAAGCTGACCAATATTTAGGAAGGGACATAGGTAACTACTGTGATTATATAAAGACATATTTTTTAAAAGTCACATTCACAAGCTCAGAAGAACCATTTTTTGAATGATTGCAGAGATTCCCCAATTCCTTTCATTCTCTTACTGTTCCATTTTTAACAATATTTACAGTAGAATTAACTTTGTTCACTATTTATTTCCCATCAACTGTAAATGGTTAAGAAATACAAAAATTATCTCTGATAAAAACAAAGTCATAATTGTCCGCATGAAAAAAACCGCAACCACCAAGCTTCATGCTGAACGTTGTCAAACACCTGATGCATCTTCCCGAAATGAGTCTTTATGTCTCTGATCTTCTCATCTGAAAACATTCAGGATGGACTTGTAACCATTGCTGTTGGGTTTGGGGTTTTAATTAAATGCAAATTTCTATATTAAATTAAAATAATATCCCTCCAATTCCATGGAGGAGCTTAAACCTCAAGGCCTTAGAAAAATCCTCTAAAGCCAGAGAATGGAAGTGACATTATTATATAAACCTCTTTGAAATGTTACTCTATCTCAACGGAAATAGTTGAAAAGTATGTGAAGGTAAGGGCTAAAGAACACTTTTAGTCACCATTACTCAGATGAAACAATTTAAGGAGTTGGGAGAAAAAAATATGCCCTTTCAGTCAAATCTAAAAAAAAAATAAATATATAAAAATGAGAACATAATTACTTGTTGATTTAAAGACATTTTCTCAACTGGCCAAAAAGGCAGAAATAGCCAAGTAACCATCTTTCAGAAGCACAGAAGCTCCATTTAGTCTTTCCTAAGACTAAATGGGTGTAAGTACAGATTGCTCAGCAGCTCTCACTTTTCCCAGAAGATATTGCCCCTACATCCTGAAACACATCACATTTGGGAGTCCCACATGGGAAAATTATACCACTGCACAGCCCTCTTCTGAATTTCCCACTTACTTCTATAATGTCACGTTCTGTCATGAAATGGGATGTATAAAATTAACTGCATTGCGGTGTTACTAGTTTGGTTATGACAAAAAAAGAGTTTATTTACTAGGGAGGAAACCAGGAATGGGAAAATTTGATATTCTATCCATCACTGTAGATTCGGTATTTATTTTGGGCATCAAAATACCCTACTTAGGAGGGAAAAAGGAAGAAATAGTTCTGAGGTGACTTCTTTTAAATGTTTTCTTCCCCCATAATTTGCAATCTTATTAATAAACTTCCCTGACGGTGTGTGAGGCTGAGGTTATGACACATCACTGACCAGTGACACACAACGTAATTAGAGGTAAAAATTAAACAAGCCACTGATGCTCTTCAATACCCTCCCTTTTTAAAAAGTAGTGCCAAACATCCTAGAAGTAAGATATTTCTCCTCCCATGAAGGTATTTTATTTACTGTACTGGTTAAACCCACATCCCATGACTCATCCCGTAGAGGAAGAGGGAACACGGAGACACACCGAGGTGAGTTTCCCAGTGACCAGTGTTGGCACCGTCTCTATGTGGATAGAATTAAGAAAGGAATCCACAGAATCTGTTAAATCAAATGCAATAATTTCTAAGGGCTTTTGTCCCCTTTTTTTCCTCCCCTAAGCACACAGTCTCAACTTACTTCCTTTCTTAAAAATGTTAAAAACTCAACATGAAAATAAACAATGAATCCACCCCAGTCCCTGCCTCCCCCCGCCCCTTATTCCTGGGCTGTTAAAAATTTGATCCTGAGAATCCAGCCAGATTCTCCCTCACGCACAGGAGCACCTGCACTTCAAGAGAATTGTTCATATTTCATTATTCAACATAAAACTATTACATCATCTAAAACAAAAAAAATCACCACAAAGCGTACTATTTATATTCCTTCTTATTCTCAATATTGCTGATTTGCAGTATGCACCAAGATAAATCCAAACCAGAGAGGGGATGTCCTGAAGGAAAGCGCTGCGGAGTAATTCATCACAGTAGGACAAACTTCACCAGGTTTGTAAAACTATTTTTGAAAATCATTTTCCTTTGGCTTCAGATGAAATTAGCACACGTCACAGAAGTAATTCAGTCCATAGTAAAATCCTACAACTGCAAACATTTTGCTCTCTTTTATCTCGTAACAGAAAAGCTCTTGCACAGTAGCTGCTGCCAGGACCATCCTGGGAATACTCCACTACAAGACTTTCAACAAAAAGTATCATCTTACGGGCCATCCCTAAGCACTCGTCTTACATTTCAGCTTCTTTAAATCCAATACCACCTGCTGCTGAAATGCACTGTCAATGTGCAACAACTGCACAAACTGCTGTCTGTGCATCTACATTTCATCGAGAAATATCCAACAAGGTGTAAAATGTGCTATTTTGAAATGGTTTGGGAAATAAATAAAAAAATACATCTGCCTAAAATGTCATTATTTTTTGATGCTGATTAAAATTTTTAGGGACATCCAGAAACAGCCTTCTTGAGATAGAACATTAACACATTTTGAGGGTTATAACATGAGAACAGCCACCGCAGGTCATACCAGCTGGCCATGGCAGAGCCAAAGATCCCATCTCTGATGGCTGTCAGTAGAAAACACTCAGTGAAGACTAAAAGAACAGTGTAAAAGCACGTGGCATTACCCTGCCAACGCTCCCTCGACCTCCAACACTTTGCAATACGGATCCTTCCACAACCAGGTAACTTCACTAATAATGCATTTTGTCATTCAATAATCCTGAACAACCACTTTAATTTACTTCAACCTGCAAACTGTAGTTCTGCTTGACGACCATTCCTAATTCTATTACTGAAATGCAGTCAACAGTCATTGCCTTATCACCGTGATTTTACAGATAAATGTGGTGTATCCATCAGTCTGAAGGGACCGAAATCCTGTATTGTTCCCCCTCTGTAGGCTATTCTCTACCTTTAACCACCCCAGTCAATCTGTCCTCCTTCCAATTTTGCTTTCTCTCCTTTTGAAAGAGGCAGAAAGGGTCACAGGGGGGAAACATCCAAACTGTTCAAGCAGCAGGAGAACACAAGGTATAATAAAGAAAACCAAAAGAAAAATTGCGTCTTTATATGTATGTGACAAATTTTTCAAATGGCTTGATTAAAAATCAATACTGAAAACTCATATCTCTAAAATCTTGAGTATGTGCTTTCTCCTACTAAATCAACATATTGTAATATAAATGCGACTATTTAATAAAAAATACCACCAAGTCTTATTTTCACTAACATTTGGGGCATTTTTCCTCCTGTACAATACAAAAGAGCCTTTAAGGTGCTTTCCTTTGACGATTTAATAAAAAAATACCACCAAGTCTTATTTTCAGTAACATTTGGGGCATTTTTCCTCCTGTATAATACAAAAGAGCCTTTAAGGTGCTTTCCTTCCTACTATTAGACATGCTGCATTTTAATTGGAAACTTCTGGAAACAGATTTTACAGTGAGGCAGCCAAGCCTGAATTATTACTTCACACCATGATATTTTTTGTTTTACAGTTTCCAAATCAGAATCAACCAGAACTTCTCTGAACTTTTCTTCCACAGGAAGGGCAAAGGTTTTAATGAGACTTTAGCCTGGAGATTACTTTTTAAATATTTTGTAGAATCTGAAGGGATTTGGTAAGCACTTGAGATGAAAAACACCAGAAGAGTTT